GGAGCTGTTGAGTGGTGGAGCTGTAGAGTGGTGGAGTAGTGGAGCGGTGGTGGAGCTGTAGAGTGGTGGAGCTGTAGAGTGGTGGAGTAGTGGAGTGGTGGAGCTGTAGAGTGGTGGAGTGTAGAGTGGAGTAGTGGAGTGGTGGAGCTGTAGAGTGGTGGAGTAGTGGAGCGGTGGAGCTGTAGAGTGGTGGAGTAGTGGAGCGGTGGAGCTGTAGAGTGGGAGTAGTGGAGCGGTGGAGCTGTAGAGTGGTGGAGTAGTGGAGCGGTGGAGCTGTAGAGTGGTGGAGTAGTGGAGTGGAGCTTGGAGTGGAGTGTGGAGCTGTGTAGTGGAGTAGTGGAGCGGTGGAGCTGTAGAGTGGTGGAGTAAAGGAGCGGTGGAGCGGTGGAGCTGTAGAGTGGTGGAGTAGTGGAGCGGTGGAGCGGTGGAGCTGTAGAGTGGTGGAGTAGTGGAGCGGTGGAGCGGTGCTGTCTATGGTTAAGGTCATATTTTGGTGATGTAACAATAACAGCAATTTTAATATAATGGGACTTGTGAGGATGATGTCAGTGGTGCGGGAGTGGGCGGAAACAACAAGTGCAGGAAAAATGGAATAAAACAACACAGTTCCACAAACAGCACCCTGAATATTAGAGGTGGACAAACAAAAACACTGATATATCATTTTTGAAACATCGATATATTGTATTGTTTAATGTGATGATACAGTATCGATATTGGGGACTGCTGTATCGATATATCACCATACTATACTTTTATTTTGGTGTATTTTACTCAATTATTTTGTTACAGAGCTACAGTTTTGTTGCTTGTTCTGAGGAAGGAAGCTCATTTACGTGACACATTTGACATTTTTACTGTTTTGATGAGTAAAATGTTTGTGTTTCATATGAACTTTGCGCAAGAAGTGGTTTAACAAATCGATTCGATTTGAAATCAAAGCGAAAGTGCACTGTATCAAGGTATGTATCGTATCGTCAACTTCTTAATGATTCCCAGCTCTATTGAATATTCTAATATATTGAGAGTTAAAGGACCTGTATTACACAGAGCTGACTCTTGTGAACTTAATGTAGTTTCCTCATCATGAACAGATCTGCAGTTGTGTTTTGTTTCATTCACACATATATGAGTGACCACCTTGTGATGTCATCAAGTGGTAATTTTCAAGTGAACAGCTCCTTTTACCTTTAGTTCAGTAGAGATTGTCAATTCCAGGTCTGAATTGATCCAAATGATTCTAGTGAAGGTGTTTGGAGTTTAAAGTTGCATTATGATAGCCTGATTCATCAGCCAGTTTCACTTTGTAGAAACCGTCTGACCTCGCAGCATTATGTGGGTACTTTTTTTTTTTTACTTAACCAATCGCTGCTATTTGGTTGTGATGTATGTAAGGTGTCACTAATGGGGCTAACTGGTATATTAAGCTTTTCCCAAATCCTGTAGGAAGAAGGACAATAACGTCTTTCCCCTTGATGAAATTCACCAAACATTTTCTTGCTTTAAATCCTCGATCTCGGGAACCGTTGACAACACAGAATGTCTGGCTCTTTGCTGATTGGCTGGTGCCCGAACTTGTACTTCCAGGGTTAGTGTATTTTGATTCCTGACCTAGTTGCAGGAGAGAAATGAAATTAAGCAGAAGCACTAGGTCGCATCAGCCTGACTAACGTTATGTATCTTCTGGTAAGAGTCCAGCACCTTGTTGTGTTCATGCAGCTCAGCTCCTCACTGGGTTTAACACACATCAACACATGGGCCTGTTTTAGTTTTCCTTCACTGGCTGCCTGCAGGGGCAGTTGTAGGGGAGGCCCCACCTCTAATCTGTTTGTCCCCTGAAGTGTCCCTGTTCTGTCAATCAACTGACGAGAAGAACAAGAGGAGAATTCAATGATCACTGATGAAATTCCACCCCCAAACTCTTGGTGGCAGTAGATCTATTGTATCAATACAGCTTAATGAGAGAAGAAACAGACCTGTGGGGCTTTTTTTGTTGTTTTTTTGTAACTGTCTATGCTTGAAACGCTTGAACGTTTCCATTCACGGAGTTGGATTCCATATTATACTGCTTCAGAATTTTTATGGCAGATGCTATTTGCACCCTGGGTGTAAATAGCTAACATTGTTATTCACACATAGGGCAAATAGCCATTGTTGCTATTTACACCTGGGTGTATTTAGCGTGGCACATAGAAGGGCACCCGGGTGTTCCTAGACAAAAAAGCTATTTACACCCAGATTATTTATTTTAAAAAAACAAACAAAAAAAAACCTCACTGTTAGTACAAACATAAAGGCACCAGCCCAGTGAAAATCAGTAATATTTGATGTTTTTTTACTCAAAATGATGCAGAATCATCAATCAATTATTTGCAGTCTGCACCTAATGGTTTAGTCCCGGTTAAATCCTGTTTTAGTCCTGGTTTATCATCAGACACAAAGCAAACTGTTTTTTTCGGCAGGTATTTTATACAGATTAGCCTTGTGGCGTTAGGTTTGTTTTTTTGTGCGCAAAGCTGCTTTAAATACATTATAATCTCAAGGCTTATGAGGACCAAATTCTTACATTTGAACCACTTTTAATGTTTTCATTATCTTACTGGAGGCTGGACTTGAACTGCTGAACAGACAGATCAACTAGCATAACAGCTAACTACACATCGCACAAGTTCAATAAACTGTCCATGATGCTGTGATGCCTTCAACTTAATCACACAAATATTAATGGTCGGACAGGCATTGCAAATACATTTTGTAGCAACACTGACTTACTTTTTACCTTACCTTACCCTACCTTTGTTTTATATTGTATTTCTTTGGATTGTCAAATCCAGCTTCCCGCACTTTTCACAGGAAATGCCGTAAGCGGACACGTCACCATTCCCTTTTTTCTTGAGATGGGTGTAAATAGAAGAATCGTGTCCATTGAACTATTAACACCCAGGGTGCAAATAGACACTCCAATGTTTTATTTATGTTTGAAAAAAGGTACTGGATGACCGTCCAAATGTATTTGCACCGTACGGAATGAATCATTTGTATGCTTGGATGTACCTTGTTTTTGGCCCCTGAACGTAACATGTGGCCCCTTAATGGCTCCTGTTTCAGAAAAATCCTTGAACTGCCACTGGCTCTTGTGTTTTAGAAATGATTTGAAGATTTTACTGATCACTTTTAAAGCTCGTTTAGATGTTGCATCAAGTTACATTTCAGAAAGTTTAACCCCGTCCGAGCGTCCCACAGCCGCAGATCCTCAGGCAGGTCCCTGTGTCTGTTCCAAAGTCCAGACTCCTGACGAAGGTGACGGAGCCTTTTCAGTCCGGGCCCTCGGTTTTAGAACAACCTGCCTGAGGAGATAAGATTCACAACATCACTATCATCTTATATATCACTTCTTGTGACAGAGTAGCTCCATCTAAGCCCAAAACTTCATCCAGACTGAACTAGGATTTTGTTCCCTTGTCCTTTTTTTCTATATAAATAGTAGTTTTTGCATGAACGCCCCCTGCAGGTGTGGTCTGATACACAGATACAGAATGGTTTGGAGAACTTTGGCCTTGATGGGCAGCACACATCTTCAGTCGACCATGTCATTTCATTAAAAGACTCGATCAGTGATAATCTGAACGTTTTCTCTCCTCTCTGTTTCCTCTTTGCGGTGGATTGAGCCACACGTCTGAAAATCACTGTCAAGAAAAACGAAACCCAGTATTACAACATCATTTCAGTTTACAAGAAGGAGGGAGGGACAGAGAGAAAGAGAGAGAGGTGATAGAGGAGAGAGAGAAAGTGAAGGAGAGAGAGAGAGGAGGGAATAAGTGCACACTACAACATCAGGACTGAGCCAGCGGTGTGGAGTGAAGAGAGGAGGAGAGAGAGGAGAGGTAGAGGAGCGAGTAAAAGAAAGAGAGAGGGGGACGGAGAGATGGACGAAAAGGGAGAGATGGGGAAGAGAGAGAGAAAGAGGGTTAGACAGGAGACAGGAAGGGAGGAGTCAGGACGGGAAATCAGCAGCTGTTTATCATCAAATATTGTGAAGTGAGAGAAAGAGAGAGAGAGGAGAGGAGAGAGAGACGAGGGAGGTCAGAGAGAGAGAGAAGAGACAGGGGGGGGCAGAAAGAGAGAGAGAGAGGGAGGAGACGGGGGGGGGGGCAAAGAGGGAGAGACAGAAACAGAGGGGGGAGACAAAGAGACAGAGAGAGAGAGAGGGGGCATAGAGAGAGAGAGACAGAGAGAGTTGGGAGGTAGACAGAGAGAAAGGGGGGCATAGACAGAGACAGGGGGGAGACAGAGGGGGGGGCAGAGAGAGAGAGATAGAGGGAGGAGATGGGGGGCAGAGAGGAGAGAGGGGGGTGACAGAGAGAGAGAGAGGGGGGGCAAGGAGAGAAACAGAGAGAGGAGAGACGGGGGGGGGGCAGAGAGAGAAACAGAGAGGAGAGACAGAGGGGGGGGCAGGAGAGAGGGGGAGAGGGGGGCAGAGAGAGGGAGAGAGAGGGGATGACACAAAGAAAGAGATGGGGGGGGCAGAGAGAGAGGGCATAGAGGGGGGCAGGGAGAAACAGAGAGAGGAGAGACGGGGGGCAGAGAAAGGGAGGAGACAGAGAGGGGGGCAGAGAGAGAGGGCAGGGGGGTCAGAGAGAGAAACAGAGAGAGGAGAGACAGAGAGAGAGAGAGAGAGACGGGGGAGACAGAGAGAGAGGGCAGACAAAGGGGGGGGGGGGACAGAGAGAGGAGAAACAAAAAGAGAAAGAGGAAAGAGAGGAGAGACAGAGAGAGAGGTGGAAAACAGAAAGAGAGGAGAGAGAGAGGAGGGGTGGAGAGAGAGAAAAGCGAGAGCAGGAGAAAGGGAAAGAGGGAAAGAGAAGGTCATGTTGAAATCTGGGTCACTTGTGGACATGATGAGTAAAATTCTCAGTAGGCGTAGTGTTAAAGAAAGTGAAATCTGCCAAAAAGACGACACAAACACAACAGACTCACAGATGTGTTTTTCACTTCTGCAGAGGGAAGAGCTGGAGCACACTTCACTCAACTACATCAGAGACTGCTGGACCAGAGACCAGCGCTGACCACAGATTGGACACTAAGAAGGTGGAGTGGCAAAAACACTCAGAACTATTACATATCTACTTATATTCATCTTTTTTGTGTTTTTGAGCAATGAAAACATCTTTAATTTTGTAATGTTGTACTGTGAAGCAATAACATCTCCATGTGAGCTTTAAGTCGTGTTAGAATGTTGTTACCTCCTCAAAAACAGACCTGGAGATGTAGTCCAGTGAGGTTCATTTGGTCTTCTGATAATTGTTTGTTATTAGGTTCTTTTTTCTGACCAAGAGTTTGTTTTCAGACCTGATAGTTTGTTCTGCTCCCTGCGCTCTTCCTCAGAGTCACGTGATCTTGCTTTGACGTGTCGCTCAGCTGATTTATACAGCCAGTTTCACTTCGTAGAAACCGTCTGACCTCGCAGCATTAGGATTCGTTTGCTCGACTGTTGGCGGGTACTTTTTTTTAATTTAACCATTCGCTGCTATTTGGTCGTGACGTCTGTAATGCGCCGCTAACGAGACTAACTGGTATATTAAACTTTCCCAAATCTCATAGAAAGAAGAGCAATAGAGGCTTTGCACCGTCACGTGACCCCTATAGCAACGGTACCTACGCCGCCATGACACCGGGCAACACTATGTCACTGACTTCAGCAGCATCGGAGAAACATGGGCAGGTTTTGTTGTGTATTTGGTTGTTCTAGACGCTCTGAAAGGGATAAAACAGTTTCTTCACTGTTCCTCTGGAAATGACTCATCAGGAGCTCAAACAAGGGAATTATCAAAAAAAAAAACGGGAATTATGGCTAGAGAACATAAACCATGAAGAGATTTCCTGTGGTACCATTAAGACACACTCACGTCACTTTCATCAAGGTATTTGTTATTTAAATTGTTTCATAGTTTATTTAATGAGAGAAGCACATTTACTGAACTAAAATGTAAAAAGAAAACATTTGCAGTGTGAGTGGCAGTAGAAACTGGATCTTCCAGCGCACATATAAACATGTCACTCGTCGTAGGACCATGTTTTCTTTATTGTCTTGCTTATCCACAACTATGTCTTCTAGAATGAATCGCTTTTAGCGAGCGGATCTTTCTAATGGATCATTTCATGGTCGATTCTTTGGAGGTTCGGTTCACAGACTCTTCGACTCGTGCGTCATGTTGATCAGAGGAGCCCAGTGTGGGTTTGTTGAATCGTAAACTAGTGCGGGTTTTCCTGGATAAATTAATGAAATTTTAGTTCAGTAAATGTGCTTCTTTCATTAAATAAACTATGAAACAATTTAAAGAGCAAATACCTCGATGAAACTTCGTGTGTCTTGATGGTATCATAGGAAATCTCTGCGGTTTATTTTTGCTAGCTATAATCCACGTCTTTTTTTTCGATAATTCCCTTGTTTGATCCTGATGAGTCATTTCCAGAGGAACAGTGAAGAAACGATTCATTTTATCCCTTTCAGAGCGTCTAGAACAACTAAATACACAACAAAACCTGCCCATGTTTCTCCGATGCTGCTGAAGTCAGTGACATAGTGTTGCCCGGTGTCATGGCGGCGTAGGTACTGTTGCTATAGTCACGTGACGGTGCAAAGCCTCTATGTCTTTCCCCTTGATAAAATTCACCAAACATTCTCTTTGTACCGGTGTGTGATAGTGTTTTGACCCCCATAGTACATTGAACATACCGCTGTAGTAAAGTGACCCCCCTGTAGGATTTGGACTCCTCTTACTTTTTTCTTTACTCGTTACTTATCTGATCATTATTTCTCATGTAATTTACTTTTATTATATATTGCTACATATACATTTTCTTTTAAGGTATTTTAAGGAATGTTTTGATGGAGAACGGCTTGGTGTTTTGTGTAAATGTAACATATACATAACAATCTTGTCACTTTTTATATTGTGTTTTACATTGTTGTGGTTTTTAGTTTGCTCTGTTCAGATAATTCTTCATCATAATGTCAATTTAGGCAATGGTTTGTAAGAATAATGAGCTTGAATTTAGTCATGTTGTGTTATAATAAACATATTGGGGGGGGTCAGATTATTATAGTCATAGGATTTTGACCTTTTTATATATAATTGATCATTGTCAATATTCAACTAACATGACTTCTTACTTTACATCATCATAACTATAATAAACATATTGGGGGGTCAGATTATTATAGCCACAGGTTTCCCCTCTTTAACTACTCAACTGATCAGCCCTGTTTATTTTAACAAGATTCAAATCATTATACATCACTTTGATTACCAAACTAATGAATAACTACTTATCTCATTTTCAGTAAATTATGTGTTTAATAAACTACTAAGTCATTTTTAACATTCAGAAGTTATAATCGACATAAAAATGCATCTGAGTTCTTCAAAAACACTTTTAAATATGTCAGTATGATTTAATTTGCAGATATAGTAATAATATTAAAAGTTTTTCTATAGAATTTAAGTTTTTTATGAATAAAATATAGATGTTCATGGGGGTCAATAGTCTATAGGGGGTGTCAGCTCACTCCTGGAGGCAACCTGAACAGAGTCTTAAAAAAAGAGTCTTGGAGAGTTAAAACAGTTCTCACACATGTCTCTTTATTGGTTCAGGCAGGTACAGGTCTCCGATTCAAGTTGGTTTACATGATTCAGCCACATGGCATCTCTTCACGTCGTCCCTCGACAACGTCCCTCGACAACGTCCCCTTACACGACGTCCCCCATTCTGACTATTCACAGAAAACAGGTGCTTTTATACCAGCCGTCTGACTGCATAACCTGTTGATTTAGCGTTTTCAGCAGAAACATACACGGCAATTTTGACCCAACATGTGTTTATCATAGACTGGCATATGCTAAAGGTTTCAGACCCACCCCTCATATACAACTTAAAGTCCATAACAACATCATATCCCGACCCCAGTGACACTCCGAGGTCCAGACGACACATCACGTCATTGAACATTGCACTACTTCTATGGCTACGTTCAGACTGCAGGGCTTAATGCTCAATTCCAATTTTTTTTTGTGAAATCCGATGTTTTTTGCGAGGTCGTTCACATTTCCAATTAAATGTGACTTGTATGTGACTCCAGTGTGAACATTAAACGGCCCAAAAGTGTCCCGCATGTGACACTGGAGACACGACGACGTCAACCGCAGCGAGCGTCTCTGTGTTTACAGAAGTTGTCCAAACATGGACGCAGCATTGAGCACCTGGAGATTTTAAAGTTCCTCTCGTACCGGAGCCAGAACATGAACAACTTACTTGTTTTAAGGAGGAGATTAAGAAGAGAAGACGAGGTTTTTGGTTGTGGTGTTTTGTGGGACAGCGGCAGCGACGTCCGTTGAAAGAAACGTGTGGATGTGGAGACGGAGCCAAGAGTGGTGAGTGGTGATGTGCTTCACTTCAGTGACACGGAGTTCATTAACAATTTTCGCCAACTTCAGCACAGAATAGTGACGTTTGTGGTTTGTTGATAACGTGTAAGTAGAATGAATGCACTTTGGCCGTTCACACTGAAGTCGCATGTCAAAAGATCAGATATGTATCAGTTTCAGGAGCACATTTCCAAGTGTCCTGGGTCGCATTTGAAAAAATCGGATCTGTGTCGTTCAGACTGTCATTAAAAGATCAGACACAGGTTACATAGGGGCCAAAAAAATCAGATTTGGGTCACTTCAGGCTGCAGTCTGAACGCAGCCTATGTTGCATGGTGAATTAACATGAATGAAACATTAAAAACACAGAGAATAATTCCACAGGGGGGTCAACATACCATAATAGGATTCTGACCCTGGGTTCAAAATACTATATGGTATGTTGACCCCGGGGTCACCTCACCACGGGCTCAAAATCCTACACCACACTGGCTTTAAATCCTCGAATTGTTGACAACACAGAATGTCTGTCTCTGCGCTGACTGGCTGGTGCTCGAACTCGCACTTCCGGAGTTTTTGTGAACCATCTAGTGTGTTCTGATTCCTGACCTAGTGAAATGAAATTGAGCAGAGGCACTAGGTGGCACCAGCCTGGCTAGAAGAGCAACAAACTGTCACATATGAAAACAAACTCTTGGTCTGAAAAAAGAACATAATAACAGAGCTGAAGTTGTGTTTTGTTTCATTCACACATGTTGAAAAATGTTTTATTATTAGTCTGCTGACATCTCCAAAGCTCAAAATGCTCTGTTCCACCTTGTGATGTCATGAAGCGGTAGTTTTCAAGTGAACAGCTCCTTTTAGTTTTAGTTCCGAAGAGATTATCAATCCCAGAGCTGAAATCAAATGATCCAAATGATTCTAGTGAAGGTGTGTGGACTTTAAAAACACAGTGGAGCACTTCCTGTATTACATGAGGTATATTTGTCATGAAGAAACATTATAACAGATCAGAAAATTGCGTTAATACGGGCGTTTAATGAGTATCAAATCTGTACGTGTAAACAAGTCTCTCTTATATCGATTTGACACGGATTTTTCTGGACCACCTTTGTGACCCAACCTTTTCCCGATGATCTTATAATTCTTTCCAATTACCAGCCGTGTTTGCTCCTCTGCCTCGCCTCTCTGGTCCGAACCGTTTTCCTCGTACGCCAGTGAAAAGCGTGTGTTTCCGTGGTGATTTCCCCTCAGATGGGCCGTGTTGCGGTGAATCCGCAGCTTGTCTGCTTTAATTAAATGTCAGCGTAGTTCCTGCAGGCCTCGTGACTCTTGGACCTGTAAGATTATATTTGATCCTGAACATCAAACCATCTCATCCTCCTCCGCTTTAACGTCCCAAAGTCAGATACAACTGTATACACATATCTCTGTTCCACCTCTCCAAGATGTGTGTTTTATTGCACGATATGCAGGGGACTTCGTATATGACATTACATTTATGCTCTAGTTCTATTTTCTCTTCTGGGTGGACGAGTAATTGCCTGAATTTTCTGTTCAGTTTCACTGGTGTTGTAATATTGTGTTTTTTCATTTTCCTCTGCACTTTTTCTGTTATGCCCCTGATCTATGGTAACGTTACCTCATGCGATTAAGGCATGA